CATTTTCTTTGCCACTATCCCATTATGACCAATAGATCTCCTATCTTCCTGCAGGGGGACTAGAACCCCTAAACCCTAAAGCGTAAACCCTAAATCCTAAACCCTAAATCCTAAACCCTAAACCCACATTCTATTCAGCCCCTGGCTGCAGTCATAGGTGGATCCTCCTTGGTGCCTTTCAAAATCATTCTACAGGGTGTTCCAGGATTCCTGGTAGTAGCTCCTATATTAACCATTATGGTATTTTTCATGTTCGTTTCCATTCCTTCTAAACCCTAAACCCTATATAACTCATTGTAATAGTTTCCATGTTCGGTTCCTTTCCCTCGTTCCCAGCTAACCAAAGGCCAGAAGATACAGAAGCACACCTGCAAGACAGGGATTTGGGTTGATTCGCCAGATTTCAAGCACGCATGGGGGGTTCCTTTAAATTAGGGATACCTTTTTTTGGGGCCCATAACAAGGATTATAGTATTTTGGGGTCTGCAGTAGGTTCCCCTATTTTGAGAAAGTACTTTTTTTTTGACTCTCTAGATGACCCAGAGTAGGGAAGGTTTTCATCTAAACCTAATAGAGGCTACTGGCTAGGTATGCTTGGAGACTCCCTTGCACATCTGAGGGATATTGTCCCCCTTAAGAAGATAGAATATTGGACATTTGAGTAGTGTTTTTTTGGTGGTTAAACCTAGTGAGATAATATTCCTTCTATGAAATACTATACCCCCAAAGGAGGATAGAATCTTACTCTATAATGGGTACCATAGTATCCCCAAATAAAATACTACTCATTTGGGGATCTTATTATAATAGTACACCCAAAGCCATATTCTATCTACTTACGGGGGACTATATGTAGGCATTACAATTACGCTGCAGGGCTCCCTCTGCAGAATCACATCGCAGTTTCGGAAGCTCGTAAATGTGAAACCCTAAACCAACGGCCCTGAGGCTCCTGAATGATGAACCCTGAACTGCATGGTTGGACCACGGACGAATGCACTATGCTGTATCTTGGCAACTCTGCAGAAATCAAATTTCGTTGTTGCAAATGAACCGGTCTGCGGTCTAGGGCTGATAAGCCTGTGCCTGCTTGCCCCGTTGTGACTATGTTACCACTTCACCCCGTTCCGCACGATAAGCCCGCAAAAAACAACCTCATCTGAGGTCTCCACGCCAGCCAGCACCACCTGCAGGCAGACGGAAAGCACCTCACGCCTGATGGATCAGAGTCAGAGGTGCAGGATGCAAGTTCAAGCTTGGGTTTAGGGATTAAGGTTTGTAGGGCTTAGGGATTAGGGTTTACAGGGTTTAGGGATTAGGGTTTATAGGGTTTAGGGTCTAGGGATTTGGGTGCAGGGTTTAGGGTTTAAGATTTAGGTGGGTCCAGCGTAGGGGCGTCTAGCTGCCAGTGGTGCTTCTTTGCAGACTTCTGCCGGTTCGACGGAAGCTCTGGTACCTTTAGGGGCCAGATCCTGCCCAGGGCCCAGGGCGATGTCTGAAAGCCTACAGTGGGCCCCAAAATCAAAAGGCATGAATCATAAACAGCCCCACCAAGCCTTACAAAGAAATCATCAAAACGCAGACATGACAGCCTCCTTCAAATCCAGAAACACTGATGAATCATGCCGCATCTTTGCAAATATTGCGGCGCTTTGCAGCGCGCCCTTTGCAAATGTATTTTCCTCTTGCTGCGCTGCATCAGCAAATGGTGGAACATCGTGAAACAACCCAGAAATCCAACACCATGAAGATCCCTCAAATACCTTCCTGCTTCTCAGAAAGGCGCTCAATTTGAGGGATTTCATTCTGTGGATCCCTTAGGGGTCTGGGTGTCAGAGTCGACAATGCCTTCTGGCAGACCCCTTGCCGGGCCAATGGCATCATAAAACAGATACGATAAAACAGATCCACAGCGGCTACACAGCAGCCGAAGCGGATGCAGGAAGGGCTTGTAACCAGTCTTGATGAAAATTATCAAGTGGTTTGGGTGAAAGTACCAAACCTTTGGTGGGGTCTTCTAAGCTTTTCTATAATCGAGGACGTACAAACAAACCCGTAAATCTTCTCACGTAACCCAGGACCCCATAATGTTAAGAAGCCATCACATTGCGTCTGCTGACAGCAGCTGCAAAGCTTTGAACTGCCGCAGCTTCGTCGTCCTGTCCATGCCCAGCAGCTCCTTTGGCTTAGGTGTATAGGGATGTAGAGTGATGAGCCCAAGGTTTAGAGTTCAGCTCCATTCGAGGACTTCAAACTTTTTGGGACGAATGATTCAAGGCTCAAGGACTATAGTCCACCTTAAGTAGATAGGATGTGGCATATGGGGATCTTCTTATAATATACCCACATCCATATTCTATCTACTTAAAGGGGACTATACCAATTGGGGAGGATGAAGGGATCAGTGTCAAGGACGTGATGCCTACAAACTCAGAGCTCAGGTGTTTGAAGCTCGGAGTTGACTGTAAGGAGGCTGCTGTATTATATGGATTATATGGGGACTGTATAAGCATGTTTCGGAATTTCGTACTTCAATATCTCTAGATCTCAACCCTATTATTCGTCCAGAGGTGCAATCGAACTTAGTCTGCAGCACTCAGACTGTAAGAGAAGCTCAGAAATAGGATCTACCGATTGGTAGACATAGGGCCTCGGGACCAGAGGCACTAGAGGAGGCCCATGAAAAGTGCAGGGATCCGTTCCTCGCTGGGCTGCCAGATTACAGGCAGCCTTGGGTTGGCGATCCCACTCTTGACTATTTGGGGAAAGCCAAAGTAAACCAGCGATTCATGTTGAATCTGTGCGATCCGTGCTTCGTGCCCCCAATCTGAAACAACGCTAAACCAAAGCCTGAACACTAAACGCCTGACACCAAACTAGAAGAGCAGCTGCCGAAATTGATGCATGGGAAGCTGCCCAGCCCTCTATTCGTTCAGAGACCCCGATCCCTAAATCTGGCGTAGTCCCGGGTTTGCAGTATAGGATGACTAGATCCCTCCTGACAAGCCACAACAACCAAAAACGATCCTTGCAACACCCACATCATGAAAGAAAAGCAAATGGATTTATAGTCTCTCTTAGGTAGATAGAATATGGCTTTGGGTATATTATAAGAAGATCTGCATATACCCCATTTTCTATCTTCTTAAGGGGGACTATACCCTAAATCCTAAACCCTAAACCCCATATTCTACCTACTGAAGGGGGACTATTAGCTATAGGAAAAACTCCGCCACAATGCGGCACCTGGCATGTACAGGGATGGAGTGAAAAGCTTCAAACCATACGGAAACTACTATATAGTATATTGGGGTTATATGATATATTTGGGGTTATATACGGATAATGCAAAAACAAATGGAAACTACTATATAGTTTTTTTGGGGTTATATACTGCCTGTGTAGAGGTATAGAATCTCAATAATGGAGAATCAAATGAGCAATTGTCTAAACTCCTAGCAAATACTCTCCTATATAATCCCCTATATAATCCTCGTTAAGGAGTTCAGACCCTCAAGCCTAAACCCTATATAATTCCCTATATAAACCCCCTTTAGGGAGTTTAGACTATAGCTCATGTCGAGCAGCATTGCGCCAAACGCGCACTTCACCGCCGTTCTTGTCCGCCTCGGGCGGCATCTCGACATCCTCGCCGTAGGTGTAACCAAGATCCTCCAGGCTGCCTCAGGATGTGCTGTTATTCTTAATACTAGTATTCTTATGATTATGATGACTAGTATTTCTATTATTATTGTGGTTACTATTATTGCTTGTATTGCTATTATTCTTGTTACTATTGTTGTTATCATTGCTCTTTTACAGGGCTTAGGTGGTACTTCCGGAAGCAAGGGGAACCCAATATAGAGCCCCAAAATACCATGATAAAAAGTTACGCCTAACGTTGGGAAACTCCAGCTGGTTCAGGGCGTGGGGTTTTGGGCTTGAAGAACAGCTGAGCCAGGCGCATACCAGAAACATACAGGAAGATATAGGGTTAAGGTTTTTTTGACGACTACTACTACTCCTACTCCTACTCCTACGCCTCCTCCTCCTCCTCCTACTACTACTACTACTGCTGCTATTACTATTATTACGTTTATTATTGTTATTATTAACATTATGATTACTATTAGTAATGGTATTAGTATTCTTGATATTTATATATATATATGTTATTATTGTTACTATTGTTAGTACTATTGTTATTAGTAATTATTACTGTTGATATTTCTATCTTATCTGATCTGATAACCCCTAAATCCCAAACCCCAAAGCCTCTGCATCTTGTCATGCTCAAGCCCTGCGCACACACTACCTTCAATCTGGAAAAACGCAACGCCACCAGAGAAATCCTAGGCGGTCTCTGAATGGTGCGATCTAATCCTTCATAGCCTCCCTAAAATCCTGCCCCACCCTTCCTTCCCCCGGCGAATTAGACCTTGGCCTCAGGCCAGGAAATCCAAGGCACGCCCGTCCGCACTGTGAGATTCATCAATCCGCATGACGGTGGGCAACACCAGCTTCAACACCATGGCCTTCACAGCTATCATATAGTATATTGGGGTTCTGTAGGGATAATGGAAAAGCAAATGGAAACTACTATATAGTATATTGGGGTTATATACTGCCTCTGTAGAGACATATAACCCCAGTAATAGAAAATCAAATGAGCTATAGTCTAAACTCCTAGTATCCCCTTAATAACCTTTATATTATTTCTTTATATATTCCCTTTTATAACCCTTTGAAGGAGTTTCGACTATATCTCATGTAACCCTGAGAATTGAGAATCAAATGGCCTCTCAAGCTCTTGCCTCTAAGTTCCCTGGACCCCTGGCAGAAATTAGAATTTCAGCTGAACCTAAACCCTAAACCCTCAAATCCTAGACCCTAAACCCTAAACCCCTAACCAATAAACCCTAGATTATAGATAACAGGAATTTGAAATTATGTTCAGGGAGCTTCCAGTTACTGCTTCAACTTCAGAGTCCGCAAGTTGCACGGGTACTGGCACGGCGAAGACCATCACTACTCTAAAATAATACAATAGAATCAAATATAATACAACCGTATATAACATACTATCATATAATGTGGTATATATAATGGTTTTATAGGGATACTGGAAAGAAAATCGAAACTACTATAATACAATAAGGTAAACATATCTATATATATATATATATGTATAGGGGTTGCATAGGGATACGGGAAAAGAAAATGGAAACTACTATAATATCATAGTGTACACACACATATATATATATATATATGTCTGTATAGGGCTTGTATAGGGATACTGGAAAGGAAAAAGGAAACTACTATAATATGCTAGGGTATATATAGGGGTCTTATAGGGATGCTTTGGGTCATTTGGCATCTTGATATG